CCATATAACCCACAATTTTATGGGATATATCATACATACATACATATATATATATATATATAAGTAGGTTTCGTTATAACTGGGTCCTGTAACTTTATAATCTTTATATCTGGGTCCTATGTGCTTTGGTTTCTTCTTGCAAGAGCTCAGATCAGTGCGAAGAAAATTGGTGAAGATGAAAGACCGCTCACCTCTTTATTTTTCCAAGCCGCCGCGAGATGTCAAGATTCTGTGATGTGACACTCAGTTCGCACCTGCTGAATTTCCAAATTTTTGCTCGAATCCTTACACGTAGAACAGCGCTGGGAATCACACAATGACACTACAAGAGTTCAGTCAGAGAATGTCAGATAGATCAAAATCAATTTGAAGAGTAGCTACAAGTTTGTTCACGCTCGCCGCCTCAGATGGCAAAATGTCGAGACGCCTGCTCAAGGCTGCGACCCACGGTGGTGATTTCAAAGACACATATGCATGTGTACAGGTGCTTATGTGTAAAGCACACCACCAAGGGCATTATTATTTCTTTCAAAACATTCTGAGATCCAGGCTGGGTGGAAGTTTGGGAGACCAAAGCCTCCACTTCATGGTATCGATTTGGATTGAAAATTCCCAACTCCAATGTGAAGAGCTTTCGATTTCACCAAGTTTGCGTCATGAATCGGTATGAGTTGATGGCCTCTGCTCGGCATGGTGGCGAATGCAGCAGGCTGGAGTCACTGAAAATAGCAAATTAAAGGACCGGATAGCCCCACAAGGCAACTTCTTCCAATAATGAGAACCAAATGTTGTAGCGGAGACGGGGAAAGAAGGAAAGACAAAGGATGTGGTGGAGGACCGACAAGTAAAACAAAGTTGTGTGTGACAAAGTTGCATGTGAAAGATGGTGTGTGACGAAGAAAGATGGTGTGTGTGTGTGTGACAAAGCAGTGTGTGAAAGATGGTGTGTGAAAGTTGTGTGTGAAAGAGAGCGTGTGACAAAGTTGTGTGTGAAAGATGGTGTGTGACAAAATGGTGTGTGAAAGATGGTGCGGCGAAAGATGGTGTGTGACAAAGATGGTGTGAGACAAAGTGTTGTGTGACAAAGTGGTGTGTCAAAGATGGCGCCACGCCTGCCACGCAAAATGCCGCCGCGTCACCGGCGACATCCGGCGACCAAAGCGGGCCCAAGCGCGCCACCTCAGCCAGCCCAGAGCCATAAGTGCCACGCCTGCCACGGGAAACGAAGGTGGATGTCGCCAAGTGCCATGCCTGCCACGGGAAACGAAGGTGGATGATGGTGTGTGAGAGAGATGGTGTGAAAGATGGTGTGTGTAAAAGATGGTGTGTGAAAGATGGTGTGTGAAAGATGGTGTGCGAGAGTAGTGTGTGAAAGATGGTTGACAAAGATGGTTGACAAAGATGGTTGACAAAAATGGTTGACAAAGATGGTTGGCAAAGGTGGTTGACAAAGATGGTGTGTGAAAGAGGGTGTGTGACAAAGTTGTGTGTGAAAGATGGTGTGTGACAAAGTTGTGTGGAAGTGATTCTGTGTGAAAGAGCGTGTGTGACAAAGTTGTGTGTGAGGAGGAGGACCGGGATACAGAATCAAAAACAAAAACCCCACACAAAGATGTGGGGAAAGAACAAGAACCCCACACAAAGATGTCCCAATTCTGCCACGCAGAACGCAAGTGGATGTCTCCAAGTGCCATGCCTGCCACGCAAAACGAAGGTGGATGTGACCAAGTGCCACTCCTGCCACGCGAAACGAAGGTGGGCGCCAAGTGCCACGCCTGCCACGCAAAGTGCCGCGGCGTCACCGGCGACCAAAACGGGCCCAAGCACGCCACCAGAGCCAGCCCAGTGCCGTTAGTGCCACACCTGCCAAGTGAAACGAAGGTGGATGCTGCCAAGTGCCACGCCTGCCACGCAAAGTGCCGCGGCGTCACCGGCGACCAAAACGGGCCCAAGCGCGCCACCAGAGCCAGCCCAGTGCCACAAGTGCCACGCCCGCCAGGCAAAGTGGAGGTAGATGCCGCCACGTGCCACGCCTGCCACGTGAAACAAAGGTGGATGCCGCCAAGTTCCACGCCTGCCATGCAAAGTGCGGCGGCGTCACCGGCGACCACCAAGCGCGCCACCAGAGCCAGCCCAGTGCCGTAAGTGCCACGCCTGCCACGCAAAGTGGAGGTGAATGTCGCCAAGATGGTGTGTGAGAGATGGTGTGTGAAAAATGGTGGTTGACAAAGATGTGTGTGAGAGATGGTGTGTGAGAGATGGTGTGTGAAAGATGGTGTGTGAAAGATGGTGTGTGAAAGATGGCGGTTACCTTGTTTCACTCACCAGTTCTCTCTCCGACTGGCTGTGGCTGCAATGTCTCTCTCAGCCTTCCTCTCGAATGACTACGCGGTTTCTTCACTACTGTTCCCGGCGCGTCATATTCTTGCAGTAGGCTTCGCATGTGGGATTATCCAGTCCTGTTCTTCTTTTTCCCCACATCTTTGTGTGGGGTTTTTGTTTTTCGTTCTGCATCCCGCCTGCTCCTCCTCCTCCGCCTCCTCCTCCTCCTCCGTCGCTCCTCCGTCATCTCTCTCACACTCAACTTACACAACTCATCACCCTCACACTCATCTCTCTCACACTCAATTACACAACTCATCTCCCTCACACTCAACTCACACAACTCAACTCACACACACACACACACTCAACTCACACACCTCAACTCACCAACTCACACACACTCAACTTACACACCTCAACTTACACACGCTCAACTTACACACCTCAACTCACACACACACACAACTTACACACCTCAACTTACACATGCTCAACTTACACACCTCAACTTACACACACTCAACTCACACAACTCAACTTACACAACTCAACTTACACAACTCAACTCACACAACTCAACTCACACAAACAACTCACACAACTCACACAACTCAACTCACACAACACAACTTACACAACTCAACTCACACAACTCAACTCACACAAACAACTCACACAAACAACTCACACAACTCAACTCGCAACTCAACTTACACAACTCAACTCACACAACTCAACTTACACAACTCAACTTACACAACTCAACTTACACAACTCAACTTTCACAACTCAACTTTCACCACTCAACGCACACAGCCCTTCACACACAACTCACCTTTCACCACTCAAGTCGTTGCAGGCACAGTAGGGGCCGATTCCAGAGGAGCAACAGAAACAACCACAAGAATAGGCAACCCCCCCTCCCCCTTCCTTCACTGTGTAGAAGGCAAGACGCAGCATATCTATACCTTATCTCTACTTATGTATTTAACTATATCTGTACTCTGTGCTTTATACTCTGCTTACAAAATACATAAGCTACCGCTATGGGTATCTGCAGCCACAGGGGCCGGCGGGACACTCCGCCGGTTTGAATACTTTGAACATCTCCAACCTGCGGCTGTGATTAAAAAAACAAAACCTCCCCTTTCCACATAGCGTCTGTGCGCTTCTGGGCCGTAGCGGAAGTAAGACTCGATGGAACGCGCCTGAAAAAATTGGAGCGTGGCCGGGGGAAGCTAAAAGGCAAAACCCAAAAGCAGCCGCCTCTGCAACGCTTCGCGCGCGGTCCATCGGAGCCGCCCCTCGTGCTTTGGCCCAAGCAGCCTCAAACAACTCCCCGCTCAACACCTACACCGCAAGCGCCCTATTACCGCCTGCCTGCAGCAGTCGGGGCGGCGCCCAGGGTGGTGGAGCCGTAACGACTGGAACCTGCAACCCCCAGGAGTCTTGTAGTGGCTCTGAAATCAGCTGCTCAAATCACACAAACTCACCACAACTTCTGTAAGACCATTGCCCGCCTTGCCCTCCTCCATGATATGGAAATGAGTAATGAATACGGATGGCGTGCGTTTAAATGCTGAAGCAGCTGCAGGCGCAATGTGGGCACTTGTGGGAACAAGGGCTGAAACTTGGATCCCGCGCTTGCTCATGTGGAAAACCACCCAACATCCTCCCATGTCTCTCTATGTCTAATTTTAAAGGGTCTATCTCCATTCGTTTCCCGTAAGATGAATCAGTCTCAAATTAATAATTTGGTGGCAAAGAAACACGGGCCTCTTAACCACCAACCAGATATTTTGGCGCCCACCAGTGGTTCCAACCATCCCTGCCAAAGGATACTAGGCTGCCCGAAAAGGAATCAAAAAAGAGATTGGAAGTTCGAAGCGCCAAGCCACTCTCTTCCTCGCATATATTTACGAATCAACAAGGCAACCTCTGAAACTTACCAGCCGGTCCTTTGGTTACCAATTCGAACACGGCTATGCTGGCAGTGAACCAGTCAACATCCAATAAAATCGATGGCAACCATCCCTCAATTTCGTAGCTGATGGCTGTGACGATGCCCAGGTGTGTGAGAGATGGTGTGTGAAAGATGGTGGGTGTCAAAGTTGTGTGTGACAAAGTGTGTGAGAGATGGTGTGTGAGAGATGATGGTGTGAGAAAGATGGTGTGTGAAAGATGGTGGTTGACAAAGATGTGTTATGGTGTGTGAGAGATGGCGTGTGAAAGATGGTGGGTGTCGAAGTTGTGTGTGACAAAGTGTGTGAGAGATGGTGTGTGTGAGAGATGATGGTGTGTGAAAGATGGTGATTGACAAAGATGTGTGATGGTGTGTGAGAGATGGTGTGTGAGAGATGGTGTGTGACAAAGTTGTGTTGTGTGGGACAGGCGGGCGGCGGGAGGACGAGGAGGAGGAGAAGGACCGGGATACAGAATCAAAAACAAGAACCCCACAAAAAAAGACGTGGGGAAATAGAAGTAATAAAATAATCAGTGTGGTTCAGGAACCGAACCGCGAACCGCGAAACGAACCGAAAACATAGGAACCGAACCGGAACCGTTCATATTCACGAACCGAACCGAACCGGTGGGAAACCGAACCGTTTGGGCTGCGAACCGCAAACACGAACCGGTTACAGACCGGTTGAGAATCGGAGGCAGACATTTTCCACTCACTCTTCCACGGGTTTCTTTGCCCCAATTCGTCCGGTAATGTTCCTTGCTACGTTCGCATGAGCGAATATCAACTTCGCCGCTTTGCGGACGTTCAGGCGAGGACGGCGGTGGCAAACCGCTCGTCCTGCCGCCGAAAACAATCGTTCTAGTGCAGCAGTACTGGCAGGGATGGAATAGATAATCCTTGCAAGGGCACTCAAAAATGGAAGCTCGCTGCGGCGGTTCTTCCAAAAGGACAAGGGTGAACTTCCAAGCTGGCTGGCATGTCCGAGGCGCAGATAACACGTCAACTCCTCTGAGATCTGCTGCTTGACCTGGCTCAAATGTTCACATTGCATTTGCTTTTTTAGCTCTTGCAAAAAAGCAAAAACAGTATTTATACAGCACAAATAAATGCCTGATTGAATTCTGGAGAGAATTTTTTGGTTAATTATAAGATTTCCTATTTGCTTTTTCGGGCCTGTGAAAAAAGCAAAACAGCAAAAAAGCCCGCATCCACACTTCGAATATGGGTCTTTGCTTTCCAATTTTGATCCCTGAGCTCTGCAACCGAGGAGCCGCATCCACATCAGCGAGGACTACCTCTTCCTTCTCTTGCTGCTCTGGTTGCCCGAAAAGCCATTCTTCAGCTGATGTTTGTGGCTGAAGGCGCCTCCGCTTTAGATTCTGCCCACTCGGAGTTGTTTCCTGCAGGGCTGCCTCTGAAGCACACCGGGACTTTGGGGCTGGGTCACTTTGCGCTCTTGCACGGCCTCTGCCACGGCCTCCACGGCCTCCACGGCCGCGTGGTTTAGGTGCCGCCTCAGCTTTCGCCAACGCAGCCAGGGTCCAATTGACTGGATCCTGCGCCTGCTTGCGCAAACGTTCAACTAGCGCAGGAAAGTCTTGTGACGCTTGTAGCGCCATCTGCGCTACTTTGTTCTTTGTGTCTTCCAAAGAGAGCATGGACTGCCACACATGGTGCTTCTGGAAACGTCCGTCCAGGAACGTGGCTACTGCAAGCAAATCGTCACCAGTTGTTCCAACCAAGTGTCTTTCACGTATTTTTTTGAGATCAGCAGCTAAGAAAAGCCGTAGCTTGTTTGGCACCTCCAGAAGAGAAGAGATCTGAACATTCTCACCAAACGCCTTTCTCAATTCCTTGGGCAGGGGAAGGGCTCCCCTATTCTTGCCAAGCGTTTCGCTGCATTGGTGGAAGAGTGGAAGATAGAGAGAACACAAGGCTCGATCTTCAGCTTCAATCAAACGGGTCGCTAATCGCAATGGTTCCAGAACAGCGCATAGCTGCACTGCTAGCTTCAATTCAGATCGATCGAGCTCTGGTGGACCCTCGATCTTCCTCTTGTTCCTGAGCAGGGAACCCAATGGTAGGAAATCTGTGAAAGGAACGCGAGAAAAAATTCAAACGTTGGCCCTGGTCCTGAGCAAAGCATGCACAGGGTTATTCTGGATGACAGTGATGAGTTGTAGCAACGCACTGCTCCACCTTGTTTGTGTTTCATACTGGTATGCCACAAGGGGTAAAGAAGCTGATGCGGCTTCTTGCTCAAGATATGTCCAATGATCTTCCCGTCGGGCAAAATGCTTCGCAATCGAGCGATACCTCTGCCACTTGGAGGAAAGGAGCCGAGAACCCAAGGTGAGACCTTTGCTTATGATTGAAATTGTGGGATATCACCATTCTCAACGCCTTTAAATTGTGTGGCTGATGGGGTAAAACTGTTTGGTCACAGGACAACCTCGTGAATGGCTGCTTCAGGAGCCCCTTTATCTCCACTGCAGCAGCGTCCGGTTTTCGCCCACGCTTCTTGGGCTCTGCCACTTGTGGTCCAGCAACTGCATTCTCATCGTCGCTGGAAGAGGAGGATGACGAAGAGCTCGATGTAGAACTACCTGATCATTGGAATCCACACAAGCTTTTCCAAAAATGTATTATTTGTGGCCCGGCGTCACAGATTTGCTTTTTAGGGGACTAGGAAAAAGCAAAAAACAGCGCACAGTCCTGGGCGTGCATTTATATGTTGGACAGCATTTTTGCTTTTTTAAAGGTTTGAAAAAAGCAAACAAGCTCACCGATGAAGCCAAGGTGCCGGAGCTGCTGCTTGACAAGGTTGCCGCAGAGGCGTCTCGCTTCTTTCGAGGAGGCCGAAAAGGAGGGGTGCTGTGCTTGATCGCCAGCTGTATTCCATGAGCCCCGCACCCTACCTGCGGGCACTGCAAGGTTCTCAGCCCGCAGCGTATAGAGGACTCATGGTCACTCAGTGCACAAACCAAGTCAGCGCTTTGCAGCCCCATGTTGGACACTATCTGCCCAAAGAGCTCTCCATACCGCTCTCCTGCCAAATAGAAGCATATCGGGGCAACCGCTCCTTTGTCTTAGAGACAACAACTTTCAAAATACTTCGTCGAAGTGAAATCCGCCGAGCCCTGGCTAATAGGTTTCCTATTTTTGAATATTCAGCAAACCCAAAAATCTTAGTTTCCAGTCCTGTGCGGGGAGGCGGCGCCTCAACAACATCGGCGCACAAGGTAATGTGGTCAAAGTTGTCCGTCACAAAGTTCAAGTAGCAGGCCAAGTAGTGACGTCTTTTCCGGCCCTTGTTTTTCCAAGTGTCGCCAGAGATGCAAAACTTGCTACCTGACTTCAGTGCTTCAGCCACACGTGCAGCAACCTCATCTCTGATGTCTTGGACCACAACTTCAAATTCTTTGTCCAGGTCCTTCCGCGAAGGCAGTGGGCCTAACCTCGGAACCAGAAGTGCTCTCATGTGCTTGCTTTCAGCTTTCCTCACAGGCTCCAAATTTGCAATGATGAGGTGCTCCACCCAGTCTCTTGTCAGAGTTTTGTCCTTGCATTTTGTCTTTTGAACTTTTTCCGACCCAACGTCGCCCAGGTGATCAGACTTTCTCTTTTTCGGTGTGTCGTCAGGAACCACCTCTGGGTGCTTGGCCCGAAGGTGATTTATCATAGAGCTAGGAGAGGATTCATTGTGCACTGAGCCAGGGTACGCACGAACAATGCTCGTGCCAGAGCGCAACTTTTCCAGGACCTCTTCTACTTCAGGCTGTTGCTCATAACATAGCTGGCAGAAGCGTAGGTGCCCCAACTCTTCCCTTTTCGAATGGAAATACTCGTGCGCCCAATTCGGTGCCATGCATCCGGAAAAAAGGGAGCCACTACATTTCACGGAGGTCCCCACAATTCTTTGAACCGCAGGGTCTCAACAAACATGAAAGTCACACTCGATCAAGCTGTTGGTATGCTACGTTCAGAAACGCTCAATCTGAAGTCAAGATTTGCTTTTTGCAATCTCTAGAAAAGTAAAACAAAATCCAAGTCAGCATGGTTCTGCAATGAGCTTTCCTCCATATGCTCATGCTTCAAAAAAATGTTTCTTGTCTCTTCCTGCGGAGATCTCTGCTTCAACTAGCTTGCGGATCGCAAATCCCAAAAATCCTACAAATGGCCACGGCAAAGCCAAAGAGTGAGGAAACTACCCTACTCTCACTCAGCTTTTCTTAGCCGAAGAGGATGAAGTTGAATCTGCCACATCGGCCGGACTGGCGTCATCCAAGGCTTTCAACGTACGGAAATCTCGCAGCGAAACGGTCTGGCATCCTCGATGCATTGCTAGAAGATTCATGCGATACAGCAACTGGGTACCGTAAGCCTCAAAAGCAGTCTGCAAAGTGTCCACAGCTGCTGGCGTCATTCTCAATCCCGATGTCTGCTGCACCACTATGTCCTTGAACTCTTCCTGGCCATGGGGGCTCATTGGTCCGGCAGGTCAAACTGAATTGCGCATGGCAAAAGTTGCACCAGGTGTGCTGTGAAGCAACAAGGTATTTACTTCAGTGAGTATCTATTTATCATGCCCTTCCCTGCATCTATATGTATCTATTACAGTGCCCAACTGTATCAAACATTATTCATCCAGCTATTTAAAATCTGCGCCCCTATATTTGCGGGGAAACAAACATTTCAGAAATCTCTTCATCTAGCGTCCTATCTCTGTGGTTTGCTGTCACAACAGCAAAGATTGTTGGGTCTCAAAAAAGTTAAATACTAAGACCCTGCTGCCTGAAGCAGGTGTTCAACCCAAAGCTTTATAAAGCTTCTATATCTATAATCTGTATATATATATATATATCTATAATCTATATGCTGCTCCGCCGCGGAGCCGGTAGCCTCGAGTAGCTAGAAAAGACAGACGGAGACGGAAGACGAGAGAAGAAGAGGTAAGAGGGAAGCGAAGGGGCGGGGAACACATACACACACACCCGGCACCTCGTAACTCTTGTCCTGAAGGTCCTTGTTGTCATTGGGCTCCGCGTCGTACCTTGGCAAAAGGGGGGAGGAAGAGAGAGGAAGAGAGAGAGAGGGAAAGAGAGAGAGGGAAAGAGAGAGAGAGAGAGGGGGGATAGAGAGAGAGACAGAGAAAGAGTTTTTGCTTTTTCCAGGCCCTGGAAAAAGCAAATCCGTCCACGCAGTGATTTGCCTTATTTAGGGCCGTTAATGTGTGTGTGTGTATTTAAATATATATATATATATGTAAATATAAATATTAATAATTATATATATAGTTAAATATACATATATATAAATCATACATACATATATATATATATACATATATATATACATATATATATATATACATATCACACACATATATATATATATACATCACACACACATATACGATATATAATATAATTCAGAAACCATATATATATATTCATTTAAATAAATAAATAAATAAATAACTATATATATATATACAATTTATATATATATATACATATTTATATATATATATATATCAGACTCCGGGTCGAAATCAAAGTCAGCCAAAGTCGGAGGCAAAGTCGGAGGCAGAGTCAAAGTTAGGGCCAGAGTCAAAACCAGAGTCAGAGCCAAACTCAAAATCAGAGTCAGAATACTAGTCAGACCCAGGGCCAGACGCAGAGTACGAGCCAGAGCCAAAATCAACATCAGCACCAAAGCCAAAACCATACCCGGAGCCAGCAGCCCAGAGTAGAGCAGCGGAGAAAAGACGGACGAAGACGGAAGACGAGAGAAGAAGAGGTAAGAGGGAAGAGAAGGGGCGGGGAACACATACACACACACCCCCGGCACCTCGCAACTCTTGTCCTGAAGGTCCTTGTTGTCATTGGGCTCCGCGTCGTACCTCGGCAAAAGGGGGGGAGGAAGAGAGAGGAAGAGAGAGAGAGGGAAAGAGAGAGGAAAGAGAGAGAGGGAAAGAGAGAGAGAGAGAGGGGGGGAGAGAGAGACAGAGAGATAGTTTTTGCTTTTTCCAGGCCCTGGAAAAAGCAAATCCGTCCGCACGGTGATTTGCTTTTTAGAGCCGCTAAAAAAGTGTGCGTGTGTAAATATACCTTTACATAAATATAAAAATAAATAGCTATATATATATATGTGAAGTATATATATATATGCATATACATATATATATATATACATATTTATATATATACAAGTATACAAATATATATATATGTACATATATATATATACATACATACATATATAGCAACAAAAAATACATATATATTTTTAATCATGTATGTATATATATATATACGAATATATATATATATATACACATCATATTTACATATCAGGCACGCACACACACACACACATATATATATATATATATATCATATATATATATACATAGATATTTAATATCTAAAAATAATTTGTATATTCTGTCTGCTTGCATCATCCCTGGCCCTTAGTGGTGCCTTCTTCTTCTCTTCGAAATCTCGCACAATTTGCTTCACGAGAGCCATGAAAGGGCCCTTCAAACAACATCGAATCGAAGAGTCCCGCTGTAAAACAGTGATTTCACGTTCTGCCTGCACTTGCAAGCAAACAAAAACTTATAACCTGTGGATTTCCCGTTGCTATGTTGGATTACCAGGCTATGTATTCTCCATGTAGCTAACAGATAGTTCACCATATTTGCTTTTTCAGGCGCCACAAAAAAGTAAAAACATGAACGAATCCTGCAGGTGAAAATTCTTGTTGGAAGAAAGAGAAATCATTTTCGTCCATATGCCTTGCGGCTTTTGCCTTCAGGAACAAGCTCCTGCTCCTCTTTGCGAGGACGACCACGTTTTTTGGACCGTGGCTGGTCCGACTCTGGCCCCTGCTGCAACTCTGGCAAGCCAAAAAGGTAAACTCCAATGGTCAACAGGATGTGAGGCACAGGGTTTGCCGCCAACGCCGGGGGCGCAAGATGCTTAGGCAGCATTTTTGACATTGCTCTTAATCTTAAACAAAGTCTCAAATCTACTTTCCAATCCTTCTGACCCGCAAGCTTTCCAACATATATAGTTCATCACACTGAAGTCACAAACCGTCTGTGAAACGGAAACGAAACGAAACGAAACGGAAAATATGTTCAATAAGTGCGAAGCGAAACGAAACGAACCGATCATCTCTGCAAAACGAACCGAACCGTAGGCTCCCACGAAACGAAACGCCAAACATCCAGTTCCTGGAAAACGAAAACGAAACGAAACGAACCGACCCCATCCTGAATAATGTCCTCCAAGCCCGCGAAAAGTTCGCGGGCGGCTCCGGCGCCTGGGATGGAGGCGGCGCTTAATATTTTTGCACTGCCTGGGGTGCCAGTGTCTTGGACCACCTGGCACCCCAGGGCAGCGCCTGTGTCACCATCGAAGGTGATCTGGACCCTGCAGTGGCTGAATTCGCCACGCAGGGTCCACTCAACGTAGTCTTGGCCGAGTCCTACCAGGGAGGAAGTCTTGAAGAATTGCATCACCTGTAGACAGGACGACGAGGTAGGGAGGTAGAGCAGGAGCTAGCTAGTGAGCTAGCTATAGCTAGATAGATAGACAGATAGATAGACAGACAGACAGATAGATAGACAGATAGAAAGCAAATAGATTAAATAGATAGATACACAGGTGTTGAAAACGCTACGGGACGCTGACTGACAAAACTCATCTGTTGGAAATCCTCTGGGCACGCTAGCAAAGAAGCCCAATCTCCCAACCTGCCAGACAGACTCCCCGCCCTGAGTTCTTGGGAAAGCTTTTTGACCGCCACTCACAAACCTTCCCAAAATACGAACACTCAATCAAAATCTTATTGAAGGAAGTTTAGAAGTCAAACTTCCGACAATATGGACAGATAAGAAAGCAGAGGTGGGAAGAGTCAGAGAAGAGAAAAGAGTCAGAACACAGAAGATGCAGGTGCGCGAAAAGGTACGAAAGCCACGAAACACTGCGTTTTGCCACAGATTTGTGGCTCCGGGGGGTCGAAAAGAACGCTCGCTAAAGCGGCGGGTAAGTTGAGATGTCGAGAAAGTGCACGCCGTTGTGGCGCGAAGCGCATTTCCAAGCCAAAACGTACAAAACACACCATGCTCGGACCACTTTTGGAAGTTGAGATGTCGAAAAAGTGCACGCCGTTGTGGCGCGAAGCACATTTCCAAATCAAAATGTGCAAAACACCGCAGTGTCGGAGCACGTTTGGAAGTTGAGATGTCGAGAAAGTGCACGCCATTGTGGCGCGAAGCACATGCCCAAGTCAACATGTACAAAACACACCATGCTCGGACCACTTTTGGAAGTTGAGATGTCGAAAAAGTGCACGCCGTTGTGGCACGAAGCACGTCTCGAAGTGGAAAGTGTAAAAAACTGATGGGTTTGGAACACTTTTGGATGTTCGATGTCCTTTCGCGTGGCAGGCGCAAGGGATTGTGCACCT